GCGCCCGCCCCAGCCTGGAGCCCCGCGCTCGGTCCTGCGGGAGCCGAGACGGGGCAGGGTAGGGCCAGCCGCACTCCTCAGGGCCCTGAGCAAACCCCGGGGTCCCGGGGCCGGTGCCCGGGAGGTCCCTTCACTTCAGGGCACAGCCCTTTGCTCTCAGGGGTGCCGCCGAGACCTCCGCAAGGGGGCAGGAAGGCCCCCCTATGTGGTGCCCGAGAAGGCTGAGCGTCCGGCTCAGCTCTGACCCCCATCCCGGCGGCCGCCTGCGGGGACACCGAGCCCCCATGGAGCGGCGGGGCTCCAGGCCGCCCTCTCACCGGATTTCAAGCTTGTCCACGTCCTCCTCCTCACAGTCGAAGTGGGACTTCCGACTGTAGCTGCAGGGTCGGGTCACCTGTGGACAGATGTGGGCAGTGAGCCACGCCGGGTGCCCGCGGGGGTGCAGGACGCTCACCTTGGGGACACAGCCCACAAGCTGGCCCAGCCTGCACCCTCTGCCTGGCCGAGGATGCAGGGGGAGCCCGGGTCCGCCTCCGTCAGAAGTGGCCCTGACTCGGCCGGTGGCCACCTGGGCGGCCCGCTGTCCCCCTCCCCGGCAGCCCAGGGCCCCGTTCCTTCAGACAGGAAGGGCGGATGCCGGCAACAGGGGCCTGGCTGGGCGCTCCCTCTGCCCGGCCCAGGCGCCAGCATCTTGCCTCCCAGAACCTTCTCTGCGGCCCACACGGCCGCCTGCCCCCAGGAGGGGCCCAGGCCGGGACCCGTGGCCCAGGCCGGGACCCTCGCTGGCACTGTGGCTGTGCCGGTGCGTCCCCTGGCCTCCGCCCCGATTCTCGGGGGAGAACGCCGCGGGCGCCGCAGGCAGAGGCACCCAGACCCAGGACCCGGCGCCCGTGGCGTTCGCCCGTGGCGCCTCAGTGAGGGCTTGGCCCCAGGCCGCGCGCGGCGGCGTGGCAGGTCACCCGCCAGACACCAACCTCAAAGTAAAACACCTCGTCGAAGTGGGGGTTGTTGGTCTTCTTCTTCACCTTCGTCTTCTTGGCTTCCGACCTGTGACCGAGGGGTCAGGGCGAGAACACCGCTGGCGCCGAAGTCCGGCCCCCTGCGCTGCAGAAAGGCGCCCAGAGCCTCTGCACCGAGGCCTGGGGGGCCCTGAGCCGGCCCCCCCGAGCCACGGCCCCGCCTGAGCCACGGCCCACTGAGCCACGGCACCCTGGGATCCGCCGCCACTCACCCCAGCAGCAGCCTCAGGAAGGAAGCTGCCCTGAACCCGCCTCCCAGGCCCACCCCGGCGTGGGGGCCACTGGGGCCGGGCCTCCTAGGGTCGGGGGTGGGGCACTTGCCTGTATGGTCCGGCCAGCGTCACGGTGGCGTAGGGGTCGCACTGCCCGTTCACAATGGGGAGGCCCTGGCACTCGAAGATGCTGCAAGGAGCCGGGGTGTCAGGCCCCCGCAGCCCCCCGCTGCTCTGGGGCTCAGGGCCGCACCTGCGTCCGCACCCAGGCCGGACCACTGGTCTGGGTCCAGAGTGCCCGCTCCTGAATGTGAAGGGGCAGGTGGGCCCAGCCCCAGCTGGGCAGCCGGCTGACGGGCCGTCCAGGGCCTCCCGCCACCTCGGCAGCCAGGCCGGCTGCTGGGCATGCAGAGGGGTGCGCCCCCGCCCTCCCACAGCGGGGCCCCTCGCCAGCTCGACTGGGGCTTGGCTGGCCCTGGCCTCGAGCCCAGCCTGGTCCTCCTGGGCCTGCTTCGCAGGCTCTTGGGGCAGTTGGGCTTCCCGCCCGGCACAGCGGCCCCTGGATGCCCACCACTGCCCAGGAACCCCTGTGCCATGGTGGGAGGCCCCACGAAACCGTGGCACAGCGGTAGCCACGCCAGGCGCGACCCGCCCAGGCCAGACCCCGGGTCACCGCCCCACCCCCTCCAGGGAGGGGGGTCCTGTCAGGACGGGGTGGACAGGCGCCCAGCTGCGGGCAGCCCAGGCGGGGGCG